CTTTAAAAACAAGCAATAAAATCTTAAAATCAATCCGGAAGTGGACAGGAAGCCAGTGGAGAGAAGCCAGGACAGGGGTTATGCGTTCATGTTTTTTAGTTGCTGTTAAAAGACGAGCTGCTGCGTTCTGGACAGATTGTAAACGATGCAAAGATGATTTGTCTAAACCAACATACAATGAATTACAGTAGTCCAAACAAGAGCTAATAAATGTGTGAAACACCTTTTCAAGGTCTCTGAAAGGGAGACAAGACTTCACCTTGGCAAAATGTCTTAGCTGGAAGAAACTGGATTTCACAACTGTATTTATCTGTTTGTCTAATTTAAAAGCACGATCAAAGATAACTCCCAGATTCCTGACATTGGAGTGGCTGTATGAAGCCAAGGGGCCAAGCACATTAAGGGTATTACATTTACCAAAGCTGATGATTTCTGTTTTATTTTATTTAGGTTCAGAAAATTTTAGTTTTAACCAGACTTTAACGTCGTTTAGACAGTTCAAGAGTGGATCCAGTGAAGTGACCCTGTCTGACTCAATCGGAAGATATAATCAGAATCAGAATCAGAATGCCTTTATTGTCATTATACACAGTACAATGAAATTAAGAGCCACTCCTTTTTCCAGTGCAAAAACACGCCTTAAGAAAACACACACTAAACACTAAACACACACTAAAAATATAAAAAATGTAACGCAATATAGATATAATAATGAAAGTAAAAAATACAAGTATTACACAATTGTATTGCACATCATGGATATTAGTGAGGTAGTTAAGGTGACTGAGAGTATGAAATATAACTGAATATCATCAGCAAAGCAGTGACAAGGGATGTTGTGTTTTCTAAAAATGGATCCCAAAGGCAACATGTAAAGATTAAAAAGCAATGGACCTAAAATAGACCCTTGAGGGACCCCACAGATCAGAGGAGCTGGAGATGAAGAACATTTCCCTAAATGAACAGAAAAACTCCTGTCAGTCAGGTAGGATCTAAACCAGGATAAAACTGTGCCTTTGATTCCAGTCGTGACACCAAGATGTTGTGGTCCACAGTATCAAAGGTAGCAGAAAGGTCTAAAAGCACAAAAACAGCAGAGCTTCCTGCATCAACAGTTAAAAGAAGGTCATTAAAAACTCTTAAAAGGGCTGTCTCTGTGCTATGGCCTGATTTAAAACCTGACTGGAATTTTTCACCAATGCTGTTGGCAGTTAAAAACCTCTTAAGTTGATTAAAAACAACTTTCTCCAAAATTGTCGACAGAAAATGTAGTTTAGAAATAGGTCTATAATTTACGAGTAGTGTTAGGTCGAGGTTTTTCTTCTTTATGAGAGGCTGCACCACAGCATGTTTAAAAGTAGCTGGAACACAGCCTGATGAGAGGGACATGTTAATTAGGACAAGAACTAATGGACCAAGAGTGTTAAAAACTTCTTTAAACAGGCGAGAAGGAACACGGTCCAGAGGTGAATTAGAAGGCTGCATGTGGTCCACGATGTCCTTTAAAACAACTAAAGTCACCGGCTCAAACTGTTCAAAGGAGGCTGCGGATGGAGGAAGTGAGGAGGGGTCTGTGTAAAGTTGTGTTGAGGAGGGTCTCAGAGCAGAGATTTTATCTATAAAAAACTTAGAAAACTGTTCACACAGTGCAGGAGATTCAGTAACATGAGCAGCATCACAAGGATTCACAACAGAGTTAAAAACATTAAAAAGAACCCGAGGTCTGTGACTGTTGTTTGAAACTACGTTAGATAAAACAGCAGTCTTAGCGGCTTTAACAGCTCTCTGATAATTTGACAAGCTGTCTTTAAAGATGTCCAGGGAAACCTGCAGTTTGTCTTTACTCCATTTCCTTTCTGCTCGTCTGCACTGGCGTCTGAGCGCGCGGGTGGATTCGCACAGCCACGGCTGACATGACTTCCTCTTTTTGGTTTTTAGAGGAGCAACAGAGTTAAACTAAAAACTAAAAAGATCAGTAAGCTCGTCCACGTTGGACACAGAGCAGAACTGAGGGTTGCAGGAGACAGAGTCATTAAAGCCAGCGGAGAAGCGCAGCGCGGTGTTTGAATTAATTGCGCGTGCAGAACGCACAGATGGTCCAGCCCATTCCTTCCTACCAGAGACCACCGCAGTGAACAGAACCGGTAGATGGTCTGATAAAAGAGCTCCACAGATTTCCACAGATGACACATTTATCCCGTAAGACAGGACCAGATCCAGTGTGTGTCCTTTTTCATGAGTTGCATCTGTGACAGACTGTGTGAGATTAAAAGAGTCAATAATGTTCAGAAAATCTCTGACCAGAGGTCCAGCCTCACAGCACACGTGTAAATTAAAATCACCAATTATTAAAAAGCTGTCGTATCGTAGCATAAGTCCCGTCATAAAATCAGTAAAATCTTTAATAAAATCTTTGCTGTGTTTCGGTGGCCGGTAGATTATAGCGCAGAGTAAAAGAGGAGAGAAGTTTATCTCCACCATCTGAAGTTCAAAACTCTGGAAAAAATGAGTGGGGATCAGCCGACATTTAAAACTGGATTTAAAAACAGAGGCTAATCCACCTCCTTTACCGGTGGTCCGAGGAGAGCTAAAGAAAGTGCAGTCAGGAGGGAGAAGTTCAGAAAAAGGAGCCGACTCACCAACATGAAGCCAAGTTTCTGTCAAGAACATAAAATCCAGTTTTTTGAAGGTAAAAAAGTCATTCAGAATAAAAGTCTTGTTGGTTAGGGACCTTGTATTCAGCAAGGCTACTCGGAGAGTCTGATCCTTGCTGTCCGCAGCAGGTGCTCGGGCCAGCTGGCCAAGATTTTTCAAGTTTATTGTGCCATGTTTGGAAATCCTTATATATTGCATACGAGGCAAGCAGCTGGCCGTAACTGGCGCCATCTTAACGTGACCTGCTGCAAACAGGTAGGCGAACATTTCAATTCAACGTGCAAGGTAGGTTAAGCGGACATTTCGATTCAACGTGCAAGGTAGGTGAAGCGGACATTTTGATTCAACGTGCAAGGTAGGTGAAGCGGACATTTTGATTCAACGTGCAAGGTACATGAAGCATACATTTTGATTCAATGTGCAAGGTAGGTGAAGCAGCCCTTTTGATTCAACATGCAAGTTAGGTGAAGCAGCCATTTCAATTCAACATGCAAGGTAGGTTAAGCGGACATTTTGATTCAACATGCAAGGTAGGTGAAGCGGACATTTTGATTCAACATGCAAGGTAGTTGAAGCGGCCATTTCGATTCAACATGCAAGTTAGGTG